TTGTTCTTCTTTGAAAGTTAGATACTATTCAAATTTAATAATAGTCACGGCAAACATATGATACATGCGCATGAAATTATGCTAGAGAGTCCCTTTTTATATCAAGTGTCTCACTGTTCTTAGATCTTAAATCCGGAATTGATAAGTCCTCAGTGATTGTACATAAAAGTTCTTCCAGAAAATAGTTTCTAATAGCCAATTTCGAACCACAGTAGCAGATCGTGCTCTTGTACATCAACCGTTATTAGCGTGATATCACATAACGCAGATTTTACCTGTATTTTTAAGCTTTGACTTGCCATTTGTATCCAACCTCAGGAAGAGTCACAGAATACAGCGTCGGTTGGAAGGAAGAACATTTCAAAACCATAGGTTCCAGATGCGCTTCCAGTACTTCTAGAAATATTGGCAGAAGTATAGTGTTGCATACTTATGAAAGCAAGTATTCACACTTGTGCTACGATTAATAAATCTTCAGCGAATTCACCCCGCGCGAGTACTTAAATTCTCCCCGAACAGATTTTTCCCTGCTTTCTCGTAGGCGTGCTGCAAGGGAAAGAGACTTCGGCTTCATTCCACCAGCTACGTTTCTTAGCGCATTGTATTCAATGATGCTATAGCGAAAATGTTCAACTTGCGAGGTTTGGCTGAGATAATAAAGATAATTTTGAGCTCAAAATAACAGAGAACAATTCGATTAACTTTCGTTTAATCAATATATCTATTTTCCTATGAATTGCGGAAATGTCAATTAATTATAAATAATAGTAACAAATAAAATTAACTTGCAATTATATAATTATCATCTTATTTACGTCACAAGCAACTTGAGTAAATTCGCAGTAACATACCGGCTCAAAAACATCGCAATCACACCGAAATCTCCCAATAGGAAATAAGAACTTCATAAACAATTGCTCTTTTGATTGATTAAATGTCAATACAATTATTCCTAGTATGAAGCATTAAGTGACATGATTACACGGTTCAGTCAAATCAAAAAGTGACAAGAAAATGGACATTCCAAGAGCACCAAGTACTTGAGATATTAAACGTTTAGAAAGACCTTCGAGGCGGTTGGAGCAGCAGGAAGACTGATATAACTTTTCTTCTTAAGGTAATTAAATAAACGTCGATTTTTATGCCGGAAAATGTTTTTCGTACTTTAAAGGTGTGAATGACAATAGCTATAGATACCATTTCGAGGTAACTGAGATTACGTGATGCTGGTCTGGAGTAAATTTTACATTGTCTGCTTAATTATGCAAACTTCTGTACATAATCGGCCCTGCTACTATTTCCACAATAAGAACATGTATTTCTATTTCCATTTTCATTTTTTCTGTTGCTTACTAATTATCTTTTCACAAACTTCTTCTACTCGGCGGGGATATGAAATGTTTCATATTTTAAAGGGTCGCCTCCCAAAAGATTTGTTAAGGTTTTTTTAAGCCTTCATTGAGCTGGGTGTCTACCTGTCTGCTGTTATGATCACTTCTACTAAACCACTTTTTTTTCTTTTTAGCTTTATTATTAAGCCTATCACATATGTCATATACAATTAAACAGAAAACTTACAGAAATTTTAAAAGTAGCATAATAATATACGTTTAGAATTCCCGATATTGTGTTGGCATACATTTTTAAGTTTTTTTTTAGTCTTTTCTCAATTCGTCAAATTGTTACGAAAGGTCCAGCTGCGGTAGGACAGTTCCCCGCAAGGTGGGTTTAGGGTTGCCAGGAAACGACAAGGGAAGCCAGGGCTGCCATATTTGGCGAGAAATCGTCCTTTTGCCGATATTTAGCAACAAAATTGGCGATAAGCCATAGGCGGATGAAGAACCTTCTAGAGGGAGTTCTTAACGGTTTGGCTCAGAATGTTCTCGAACGCAGGCCAAAAGCTATATAAACCCTGTATCTATAGAGTAAGGGTGTTTCGTCAGGGTCTATCGAGTTGATCGTCAGTCTAGTGCCGAGTTGGTTGTCGAATGTATCGCGAGTTAGCGCATCGCTAGAGTGTCTCATCAGAGTAATTGTGAGTTGGTGCATCTTTGAGGCTATCGATTGTATCGTAGAGCGCATCGCGAGTTGTAGCGTGGAGAGTCTCGAGAGTACGTTGAGTTCCGAGAACGATCGAACCGTGTCGGGAGCTGTAGTGCTTTGCCGTGAAGCTGTCTTCCCCGTTATGGCCTGATAGTCTGAAGGCTGTGTTTAGCATATTTGTCATACTTTTTCGATGACTGTAAATGCGTTTTTGCAACTGTCCTGATAAATACTGGCTAATAAATTGCGTTTTCTTTCTTCATCAAGTGTTGTCGTCAATAAGTCTAATTCCACGAACCCGTACAAACACAACAATATCAATTTTCAATTTTCTTACTAAAATGGCTTTAAAAAAAACCTTTTTTCCCGTTTTTTTTTTTTTTTTTTTTTTTTTTTTTTTTTTTTTTTTTTTTTTTTTTTTTTTTGTCTAACATTTAGTGTATTCACTTTATTTATTAAATTTCACGTTCTTGACGCTTACGCCAGCTAAAATTCGATTCAACAGCAAAATTACAAAATGCTTAAAAACAGCATATGTTTAGAAATTTTGAAAGACACTCTCGCGAGCTGGAGATAATTTTTTTTTTTTGCTTGGCGCTGCTAACTTGTAATGGTAAAGTATGTTAATCAAAAATTCGTTAAAAGTTTACAAAATATGAAATAGAAAATAAAACAAATTTGAAATTCAAAACTCTGGTGACCATGCTCGAGTGGAGGTACACATTATTCAAAATTAGATGGCTTTTGTTTTGAATAATGTAGTCCAGTAATGCAGTCACTGTTTATCACAATGCGAGAAACATTCATACATTCATGCTGTTTCTTCATTATTTAATTTCATCAAATATAATGCAGGACGATAATATTTGGTGGCAACATTCTGAAAAGTGACACACTGTTTGCAGTGATTCAACGCAAAATGCTATTTACAGACTAATAGCCTATTCGGGACTAAGTTTTTGGAGATGGGGCTGAAAAAAAAAACACCTCAGTCTACGTATTTCAAATTAATTCTATATTACTACAACATACTCTGGGTCATTTCATTTTACATTTTACGCATCTAACCTATTTAAAAAATTTATATCTCATTTATTGGTTATAAAATCGGCACTCAAAAATAACTTTGTGTATTAAAAAATAAAAATAAAATTCAATTCTACTTATTTCACAAAATTCGGTTCTTCACTTCACTTAACATTCGATTCAGTATCTAACCCATTTAAAATTTGTATATTAATTATTGGCTGCAAAAATTTTCCAAAATTCCAAATTTCATCATGAATTTGTTTAATTAATATCCAATTTTTTCACGTTTTTAAACAAATCAATTTCTTACTTATATTACATTTCAAAAATAAAAATTTAATTTAATTTAAAATAACAGCAATTGTATTTGCTTATTAGTCTCGGTCTTGCATTATCACTAAATGCAGTTTTTTTACATTTCAACATGCATCATGTACACAACTCAGTTCGTTAATTATATATATATATTATTTTAAGCATAAATAGTACCACTTACTTAAAAGAAACTGGTTTTTATTATTTGATTTGAATTAGTTTTTTAACTCTTTTAATATATTATTATACTTAATGAGTTATAACAGGTTTTTATATTATAATTTAGCATCTGAATGTTATGCACCTCTTCATCGCACCATTACTTTGTACTCTTCAAATTATTATTTTAGCTGTTGGTGTACCTTTCCCTCATAACATAATAAAATTTCATTAAAATTTTCCTTTAGTTGCTTTTATCATTTTATGGTCAGTCTGAGACGGTACTGCTAAGAGCGAATATTTTCACTATGTATTTGGCGCATCATAAAATCTGCACCAGAAATTCCTTGATCACCACCACCACCACTATACCACTCAATTCACTTCATCCCATTTCACTAAATCAGTAAACAACACATGTGTTTAAGAAGAAGAATTCTTCATACATATAACTGAAAGATTGGCGCTTTCGTAACCGTTTACCAAATTTAGGCTTACTCTTTTTTTTTCTAATTTAATTACATTAGAATTCTAAATACCAAATTATGGCTATTGATTTTTGTTTTCAATTTTAGTTTCCCATCATTTTAGAGACTTATATTTTTACCAGTTTGACATTGCAGGTTACTTATTTACTATAAATTTTAAGTAATTTGCGTATTATTATTATTATTTATAATTTCGTTTCATTTCCTGAAATTTTGACTTGGTTTGAGTCTAACTACTTTGAAATTATGTACCATTTGTGACATAAAAAAATGTTTGATTTCCCTTTTAAATTTAAAAATTCAATATTTACAAAATTTGAGCATTTTTGCCTTTACGAAGTTTCTTTGATTTCACGTTTATTGATTGTTTACGAATTTACTATGACGATATTCAAACTACTAATATCTAAGGTCGTTTTTGACTTTTCTTCCTTATTTTATACCATTTTACTTTGCATAAGTTTTAAGTCACGTCGGAGGAGGTTACATCTTGATAATTAAATTAAAAATTTAAAATAAAATTTTTAATATCATTAAAACATAATTAAAAAATTCTCTTAGTGGAATTTAATTTTTTTACTTTTTTTAAATTATTTTTAATTTGTTAATTTATTATATTATTATTATATTATTATTTTATATAAATAATCATAATAAACGTCAGAATATCATTCAGAAATACTCAACAAACTGAAAATTTTCGGCTGCTCTTTGAAGAGGACCAAAGAATTTTCAACTACTATATGTTATTGACTTTGTTATATTGTTTCGATTTTTTTAAATTTTTTATTTTAAATTTTATTTTTACTGTTCGCAATTTTACCACTTTTAATTGATTTAATTATGTTAATTATCTCTTGATTTTTTATATAAATTGTCTTTACAGCTTTCTTAAACAAAATACGCCAAATTAATCTTTAACATATTGTGCAAAGAAATATGTTGAACATGAAAAGCATTAGTTACCTTCTGAATTCCAGGAGGGCCTTAGTAGAGTTGGGAACGCCATTGTCCGGCCATGACATGAAATGGAATTGAGTTACTGTTCTCGTTTCGCTTGTCCTTAAGTTCTTAAGATAAAAACTGCGTACGAGGTAGTCATCACACCAGATATGTTCAGAAACGAGGTGAACCTAAAGAATAATTATGAATAAAATTTATTTTTTAACTTAGTCGTCATTTTAAACAAAATAATCGTAGGAGACATAAATTTGATGACCGATTCTTGTAAATGAGATAAAAACTTTAACCAGTAAAGTCTTCATCTAAAATACTACGCCAGGAATTTTGTTGTAACATATTTGAAGATGCGTTTCACATAAATTATAAACTGTAATGTAAATGTAAAAAACTGTAATGTAAAATAAGCAAAACTGTTATTAAATTTACTGCAATATGTTCGAATTCAGTGCATAAGAGTAAGCGGCACTGCCAATGAAAGATCAGATTTACAATCATTGCAGTTCCTTCAAAAAGTTGAATAAGCTTATTCCATTGATGAATATCCACTAAATATGTATAAATAACACATAAAGCTAAATCTTTCTCAGTTTAATAGAGAAAGAGATGAACATTAAAATAAAAGCGATATAGTTCTTCCTTCTTATACAGGCTATTTCCAATTTTCATAAAAAGGCAACTTGTTAAATTGAAATTCGACAAGCTGCAGACTGAAAGAGTCACATCTTTGATAGCTGTTATGACAAATTACTGAAATGCACAAAAAAAGTAGTAATTGTAATTCAAATATTATTGGAAGTAATACACTCCTAGATTAATCCCTAAAGTTAACTTCACAGTTTTCACAAATGTTTCTTATTCAGATGTCTTCTATAGTTTCCATTTAAACAGCTGCTGTTAATAAACTGTTAAAAATTATTTCAAAGAAACAGATTTGAATTTTTTCATCAATAAACAGTATTTAAAAATTAAAATTTTTAAGATTAGTCAGGTAACTAGTTGTACTTAAATTCACGAAATGTTTTTATTGTATTATACAGGAATTGTACCTTATATAATAATTGGGAATATTTGGAATTATATGATCAATGGCAATAATACAGCAATTATGCATTACATAGAAATCACACTTTTATTGCATTATAAAATTTTTATTACGTATGTACAGCAAAAATTTGCGTTTATTGTATTACTTAATTCTTTTCACTTACCATAATTAGTTAATATACGTTATATTATTGTTTTCGAAGATGAAGTGTTATTTGAGGTTATTTTTCGATGGATTTAATAAGCTTTGCTAATTTCAGTTAAATTATATTTGCTTCGGAAAAATTTTTTTAATTAATGACACTTAATTATGAGAAAGCGAAAAATAACAATTATCTTGTATTTTGTGATATTACTATTATTGCTAACTATTATTGTAAAAAACACGTTTCTGATAGTTATGAAAGAAAAACGGAATTAATAAAAAATGTAATTTCGTTAATTTTTGTAACTTAATTCTATTAATTGCACTAATAGCTTACCTCATGAAACTGTATCACGCGGGATCTTTAGGATCCTAGGAATAATCCTGTAGAGGTTTGTACTACGTTTTATAAAGACTATTAAAATTTCCTTCTATGCTAAATAACCCAATAATTTTTAATTCTGATAATATGCTGATTTCTAAAGCTATGCAACATTTATTGTTTCAAAAATTTCATTAAATCGTATATAATCGTATATATATATATATATATATATATATATATATATATATATATATATATATATAGATAATAGATAGATAGATAAATCGAAATTTACAGGTGCGCGGAATGCCGGATATAAAAATGATAGATTTAAAAATATCGAAAAGACGAGCATACAAAAATTCCATTTCTACATTCTAAATGCTGTTACTGGTGATTCTGAATATTTTCTAGGACCCAGTTCGTAACACTTTCGTTTAGGATAGGCCATTTCCGCAGACCACATTCATTCCTCACGTATGGAGATTTCACCAGTAACAAACATCCTTGCTGCAGCACGATTTTCATTTTCTTTCGCAAACTGAATGACTTAAACTGAATGACTAACTGAAACCAGCACTATGCTTGTTTCATTTGGCAAGAGCTATGTTTACTTTTAAAAGGAACAGTAAATCAATTGTACTTCAACTAAAGCAAATGCGATTTACTAAAGCCTTCGATGTTCACTTTAGAATCACGGCTTCAAATGACAAAAGAAAAAGAGGACATCTGACTCCCGATTCCGTAATCGTATCCCAAATTATTTTTCCCTTTTCTCGAACACCTAGAATAACATTCTTATGCACACCTGCATTGAATATAACCCACCTTCTTTGGAGAATTATTTACTCCTTGAAGCGCCTCTCAGCACACATTTTGTTCCCCTTATCACTTGTCAATTCAGTGTATCATTAGTCGAAAGTCTGCAAAAAAATCTTTGAATGAACGACTTCAAACCATAACAGCATCTCGTGTGTGTCTTAAGGTTTTTTCGCAACGAAAATAGTGTTCGTTATATGGCGAATATTCCTAAATGTTATCAAATGTAGTTTGAAATTACAGGTGTGCGTAATAGGGCGGAATATACGATATGTATATACGCACATACATTTACTAAATAGATAAAGAGTTGCAGAGACATTAGGTTATTTCGAAGCTGGTGAGATGAAAAATGAGCAACGCCTTCGCCGGGAATCGAACCACGGACCTTTATAATACGTGCCCAGCGTGCAGACCACCACACTACGAAGGCATGCTATCAAGGCGGGAGAAATACCTTATAGTGTATTAGGTTGTTCGGAAACAAAAATATGAAAATCAACTCTTTTCTCGCCGAAATTCGAATCACCAATTTCCATTTGATACCTAAACCACTTGCTAATTGGTTTTACTAAGATAGCACCCATGGAAAAATCTGATAATTCCATATATTTTTCCCTTAAAGAGAAATTTGGTAAAAGTATATAACCCAGTGGATCAAATCGAAATGGTGACGAATTACCGTCCATTACATTTAATTTGAAGCCACCTAGAAATCATGAAGTTTCTTTGGAAACTGGAAGGATAAAAAGTCAAATCAGTTCTAGTCGGGATTCTAACCACAGAACTTTCCATTGCTTTGTGGACGTGCTAACCTTTTATAACATATCAGCACGCACGAGGAAATGAGTTAATTATTTATGCTGTTCTGCATTTAAAGTTCGTTTGGGGGTCCAAGAATCAAATGAACCAAATCCAGCCGATGATGAGTTATCATCCATCTAATTTTAGTTCGGACGCCGCTACAGAAACGATTACGATTTTCAAAGCAAAATAAAGGAAAAGTCAGTTCTGCCGTCGGTTGTATCATTCAGGTGTTTTGCCATCTGAAATGGTATGATAAAAAAAATGAAGGACATTAAGCTTATTAAGCTCAAAAAAGACTTATCATGATTTTAGTTTTAAATTGCATCCAGTAATTCGTAGACGAAACAGGAAAATATATATAAAAAAATTGTTTATCAACTCAAGGTTTTATCACACTTGATTACAAATCAAGACTGATTAGAAATCTTACAAAATATGATATAAATTCCGTGTAAAAAAAAGAGATTTTTTTTTACGCTTTGATTACATTTTAAATATCAGATAACAACTACAACTTAATATGTGAAAAACATGGACATTGAATGGAAGAAATGGACCATGAAAAGAACAAAAACTGTTTGCCTCATTTTTATAAATAGAGTTCAAAACTGTTTTCGATATATGTTATAAATAAAAGTGCTGTATAATTTCAGACAAGAACTAAAAAAAGTCTTTAATAATTTTTTCATTGTAAATATAACGGTGAAAAACACAAATAAAACAAACGTAGGTTTATATACTTTTTATGAACATAAACTCAAAAGATGTAAGATAATTACAAACTTCTTAATGATTGTAATACTGAAATAATGCAGCATTTTTACTGAAAATATGCAGCATAACCTTTTATGGTAGAAATCATATTTACCGAGAGAGGAATTTCCAATAAACAAATGCATGGGAAAAACTGCTCAAAAACTCAACTATTTTTTTGTTTAGATTTTTTTCCCTCTTTTGCACATAATACTGTCATATTTTCTTATTTCTTCGGTTTATTTTAGTTATTTATAGATTCTCAGTTTTCCGAGGAAAGCTGATAAGAATTTTAACTTGATGAGATGAAAACTGTTTTTTAAGTTAAACACAAAGAAGTGTAAATAGTTTATTGCAAAGTTAAAAAACGATAAGATAAATATGTTATATAAGTTTTTTTTATTTTTCCAAATAATCTTTTCAGGCTTACAAAATTTCTTTTAGCTCCACCGCTTAATATACATTAGGAACGTTATAAAGTACATGAAGAATTTCTAAATACATTCCTAAAAACTTTTTTAACGAAATTAATCATTACAGACATTTGATTAGTATTTTCTTTTTGTAGGAAATATTTTCAGGCATTGAGGAATAGAAAAATAATGCAGGTTTTTCTCTAAAAGTACAATGTGTAAAAAGTGCAATATTTTTTGCAAAAAGAGATTTTGTTTATTAGAAAAATGCACGTTTCCTAAATTTCCAGAAGTCTTTTATTCGTGATATTTTACGAACCAAGGAACAGCATCGAAAATTATTTATTTTTTGTTACCGAAACAAAACAGCTTCTTTAAAAAAGGAATTATCTGTACAATGAAGAAACTTGAGAGAAAATCAGGTACCTATTAACTCTGTGGTATATTTGAACATAACCAGAACTATAAAGTGTTAAGAAAAACAAAATTAGTCGATTAAAATATATTTTTATCCTTACTACACACTGAATGCACAAAAGAATTTAAAAATTCTTATCAAGACTCCAGAATTACCAATACTGAAGAAACGTTTCTAGTTCTTACGTTTTTTTATGTATGAAATAAACTAATATAAAATTAAGAAAAATAAATGCGATGTATATAAAAACAGCATTAAGGAAAATATATGCGATATATGGGAAATATAACATTAAAGAAAATAAATGCGATACATATGAAATAAAAAAATTAAGGAAATTAATGCGATATATATGAAATATATGTGCATAAATATATAATTCTGTCGAATTGTAGTTATCAGCTATTTGCCGATTACTTTAAATAAATCGTTTTCTCATATTATAGTTTCTTTTTTAAAAATAATTGAAGATTCTTAATTAATTTTGTGAGCTTCAAAATACATATTGGATAATTTAGGAAAATAATTTTAAACTTAGAAAAACTTCTTTTAACATTTTCAAACTATTTCACAGATTATTTACAGTTACAATTTTGCTTAGATGCTTTATCAAAAATTTGAAATATTATGCAAAATGGTTTCAAAATTTTCAATCGACAAGAACATTAAAGTTTGCCGGAGAAGAAAATCTATTTAGAAGTTAGCTGAAAAACTGTAACTATCTTAGGAACTGACGGATGATGTTTAATGTTCTGTACCTCATAGATATGATAGACTTCGCTTCCTTCTTCAGGCCAGTAACGATGGCACATAGCTACGCCGTTTTCCATCAGACGGCTTAACATCACAATCACAACACTTCCTTGCTCCCAAATCATCTAAAATTAAATTCAAGCATTCTGATAAAACTGAAATATATTTTATCTCTTAATCAAAATTCTACTGTTTAGTGTAAACTTACCTGCCAGAAATCAGCTGCCGTTTGAGGTAAAGGACCTTGGGTAGCAATATAGGCCGGGTTACGTGGGTCATGGTCGGTCTGAAAGAAAGGAAGTAATTGTTTAACATTTTATACAAATTCCAAATAAAAGTATGGGAACAGATTCCAAATCTAAAAAAAAGTAGTTAACATGAAAAATTAGAATGCGACGACATGACGTAAGATTTTGAATGTAGGGTAATACTGTGACAACATAGCTTAGATTGCGTGGATCAAAGAGAAGTAGGAATAATCAGTTCTATTTTCCTGGATAGCCATGATTTTCATTAAAACATTTTTACCTCCAACATTTATGGAAGGGCAAAAGGCATTGCAAACGTAACTTCAGACTAGAATTCAAACACAACCTTGTGACAATTGCAGAAGACAATTCAGGCATTTTTTAGCAGTGTATCATTTAAATTATTTGGATATGTCAGTTTTTGCCTAATTTTTTTCCGTTACAGGCATGAAACTGAAATTTAAATACGAGGTAATAATGTTGACAAGTTATTTTTGTGCTACCTCATAACGTCGTTAATTATAAGCCTTCCAGTCAAATTAATTCGTTAGTTAAAAAATTAAAAATAATAAAAGCAGTAACTTACGCATATAGTTTTAATGTTTAATAAAAAAATATTCTGCTTAAATAATTAGTAAGATTAAAAAATAATTCAAAACTAATTAGTAAAATTCTTTAAATTAATTCTTGAACAATTACCAGAACCATTTACAGCCTTTGTTTTCAAAGTTCATGTTATTAATTTTAATTCTCAATTAATTAAGGAAGCCATTTTTCGCACTTGTTTTCGAATTTTGTGCTGCTTGTTAGACGAATGGTACCGATCTTTTTCTGAAGGTTGTGGTGCAAAACCTTAATGAATTACAAAGCATTTATTTTATTAGGTATCTTAATCCATTTAATACTTTGAAAAAAAAATCATTTAATATATCTAATTTTGGATAGATTCTACTGAGAAACGACATTTAGATAATCAGAGATCGCAAATCTTAAAAAAAAAGTAAATGGAGTAAAAAGTCTGAAATCTGTTCAAAAGGCTTTTTTTTTCCTTTTAATTCACTAACATTTTGTAGCAACTTCCTCGCTTCTCTTAATTCTTTAAGTCTGATTAAGTAAACCGATAAAATGTTTTGAAAAAAATGTGATTTTAATCAACCAGACGCAAATTAAAAATTCAAAAGGATTACACAAAAAAAATTGTTGAAAGGACATTAATTAGATTAACATGGCTTTTGTCTCTGACACAAATAAAAGGTATTTTCTATACCTGTTTAAAATTTCCCCTTTAACATTTTATTACTTAGCTTTAAAAGTGTTCGTTAAAAAATGTACTATACCGAAACACAAGATTAATACAGCGTTCCTTGATGGTCTTCGTATAGAGTATTTATATTCAGATTTACGCGGGTGATTTAAAATTAGAAAGTCGGTAAATCATTTATCATAAATACATCGATTAACGTTCAAAAGGAGGAAAAAAAGGATTTTCTGTGTAAAAATAAAAATGAATACAATTTCTTGAGTACATTTGCATAATTTTGTAACAATTGCTTTTTACTGTTTAAACATATAAATGGTTTCCAGAAAAATGAAGTTCTAACCCAGTCTTTTAATATATTTTGCGTATAATTAAGGAAAAAGTCTACAACAGTTAAACAAATAGTATCTACAAGGGATACATTTTCTGAAATAAAGAAATATTACTAATAATAAAAAAGATTTTGCATAAAGACTAGAAGAAAGACTGAAAAATACTTGAAAATGTTAACGTTTAACTGGTACAAAACTTAAAAAATTATGTGCTTTTGCGATGAATTTAAAAATTTGCAGATTACTTCATAATTTCGCTTTAGATTTTGAAGGTTTAAAACAAAAATTTATAACGCTCACGTATAAAATTATATATCAGTTTATGAAGATTCTCTCCAAATTTGCACTAATATTAGGCCTCATCACATAGTTGTAGACTTAGCCGATACGCACCATTTTGATTTACAAAGTGAGCCATTCTTTGTTTAGAGACCGAGCTATTTTGCAACTGTTGTTACTGCCACAATGGAAAGAGACAGTTTCTTATCTCATGAGGATGGTGTCCTTACATTTTCATTACGCCGTCTGAGCTTAGCTTAATGCTGAATTTCCTGGTTGTTGGTACTGATTTTACTCTTATGACATGGCTTCCACGCTTATTTGATATATGAGATTTTATTTAAGGGGTTAAACCAGAGGTGTCGACCCAACGGCCGGCGGCCCAAAGCAGGTATCAGTACTGCCCAAGAAGCGAGCGCGAAGCGCATAAAAATAATATCATGACTTCAATTCAACCATATGTTTTACTGTTGCGATCGCAATCGTGATTCGAGGCTGACTTTCAAATATGGACGAAAAGACTGTTTGACGCACTGAGTTGAAGGGCGACAAAATGGATTTTGAACGAAGCGGAAGTTCCAAATCTTCTTTTCAACTGTGCGTGAAATTATTATCTTCATTTTGACTCAGATATGCCTCGTTACACAGTCATACGTCATTATTCAGCAGCACGCAGATTTATGAACAGCTATTTTCAAGAGCGAAGCATACTAAGAATAAAATTAATCAATCGAACCAGACATTGAGGCATTCGTTTCTAAAATTCAAGGCCAAATATCACATTAACTTAATGGTTTCTTATCTTCACAATTATAAATAAAATTATAATGGAATGTTATGTATAAAATGTGAAATACAATGTCAAAATATTATTCTGTGCTGCAGTCATTATATTTAAAAAAATTATAAATTAATAATACTTAACTTTCTTAAATATGCTGTTACGTGTTTTCTGCGCATCATCCATAGTTAGCGTTAAAACGTGGCAGCTCGCTATATGAATCGGATGAATCCTTGAATTCATTTCAAATTTTCTACATATGGGTTTTCTTATACTACATAGTATGCACTGAGCAAATTGGAAATAACGCTATTAAACCCGTACAATTTCTTTCCTAGATCGAAAATTCAAAAATTTCAGTGGTCCAATGCGTGCACACCCGACATTTTTCAGTGAAACCTACCAAATTGTGTGATTAACTTATTTTGGAGGCCATGAACTGCCACAGGTGTTAGAAATAATTCGTACGGTTTAAAATATCTCTCGTCTTCCATTGTGGTCCAGGGAAGTTAAAAGGTTGGACACCTTTCAGTTAGACCAAAATCATGTATTCATGCCTTTACAATATGATTTGGCAGAAATGCAGGAAGGAATCATACATGTATTTTTGGCTTGTAGAGACATGCATGGCAGAAGTTTTAATTGCGAAATCATTAAAACTCCTACCATGCATGTATCTACAAGCCAAAAATGCAAGTATGATTCCTAATTCATAATGCATGTATGAAATCATGTTATTCACGTCATCAGCATAGATGTAAAATGCATGTAAAATTTAGAAAGAATCTTTATATAATGATACACAACTATTTCTTGTATATATTATAACTAATGTAAAATAAATTTCTGAAATAAGGAAGGAATGATGAATCATTTTGCTACATCGCCTATTCATAGAAAAGGTTAATAATTTATTTTTAAATTACGATTAAATTAATTAAATAGTTAAAATACGATTAATACATTCACTAAAAAAAATTAAACTATAGACTTTCTCTTAACATGTAAAAGTCCTTAGCTAGGGCTTGATGCTCGGGTCATCAAAGCTCACCAGTTAAATGTTCAGTACAAGACAAAATATAAAACTTCACTTACAATACTACTGGCGTTGATGTAGTCAGAGCCTGATACGTTTGATAGTTCATTTAATATTACTCGGGAATGGTCATCTGCAAATGGAAAGAATGTAAAAATTATTTAAAAAAAAAAAAAAAACCGATTTAAATAAAATCCTAGTGATATACATATTTTTTTTAGCTTTGCAACATCGTGTGCCTTTGTGGAAATATTAAAAGTTTTACAAATCATATAGAAAGCTCATTTATTCACATGTATCACTTAGACTGTTCATATGTTAAATGTTTCAAGTTCTGCACTGATAATCGTAATCTAAATGTTTAAACTATAAATTCTAAGTCTTCACTAAGTCTATTCTCTATCATAATATGCAGGATTAATTTTTATAAAATGCTTGTTCTTACTTTTACTAGTAAATTTATCTGCATTGCTCTGTCAGACGAGTTAAGCGACTACATGTATTACATAGTAATTGCATAATTTTACCTGTATTAAGTTTTAAACTATAGACAGAATTATAAATCTAAATCTTGCATATCATAGCTAATTCAGTTTGCAACTAAATCTAGCCATAGCTTGTATTCACAGTTAAGATAAATTAAATACATATACAATAAATTCTTCGATTAATGGAACTTCACAGAACCAAAATGTGGCTTGGAGAAAAGATGGAGAAAGTAAGATTTACTCAGTGAGTCCAAAAACAAAACGTTTTCACTATCTTACATCATAATTTTTCAATATGGAGACATTCAGTGTTGAGTTCTTTAATGTAAAAAAATGGTAAAAATGAAAAAATAAATCACAAAAATAGCGTAAAATATATTAAAAAAAAAGCCTATGATAATAAAAAACAGAGTATTATTCCGCAATATCTGCCTAGAATGTGATCTATCTATATTTATTTCATAAGTTATTTGAATAAACATTTGCTCTGTTCAAAAAGAATGCCTCCTGAGAAAATAAATTACCGAAATCAAAAGCGCCAATGAGCTTAATAAATTACAAAAAATATTTCGCAGTAAATTTTGAATACATTTTTGCCATTTTGGGAAAACATTTCATGAGCGATATACCCTAATACTGACAATACACCAGAAGGCAATTTCGAAACTGGAAAATTACAGCTAAGTACAAGATATTACTTTTTAGAAGTTTTATTTACTTAAAAAATGCTGATGTATTTAAAAATAGTGCTCTGCTAGTTTTCATTATGCGTTTTTACGATTTTACATGTGGATCACAAGTTTAAGAGGTTGAAAACAATGCTGTAATAAATATAAAAAACAAATTTTGTTTTAATAATTCATTGTTAGCTCATACATGCGTTTGCACGAATGGGCTATTAGTCTCGAAACGGGATTATGCGTCGTCCACTGTAAACGGTTGTATCACTTTTCAAAATGCTGCCACCAAATATTATCTCCTTGTATTATCTTATATTTAAAGAAATTAAATAATAAAGAATCTGCAAATATTTATGTATATTCCTCTCACTGTGAAAAAGCAGTGGCATCAAATTTTGAATAGCCTAATCCTCCACCCGAACACGTGCATCTGGGAAAACGAATTTTGAACTTTAAATCTTATATTTCATAGTCTGTAAAACTTTAATAAATTTCTGATTAACAAACTGATTCAGCGATTTGAAAGTGATTAACAGCAACGTTGTACGGAATAAACATTTTTTCCTCCAGCGCGAGACTGTCTATTGCAAATTCTAAAAATATGCTGTTTTAAAATATTTTGTGATTTTGCTGTTTAATTGAATTTTATGAGGCCCAAGTGCGACGAACATGACATTTAACAAATAAAGTTAACATGAGTCATCCATAAAATTTGAAATCTTTCAAATTTTTATTTATTACAATTTTTCACCGATTATGTAGATTTGAGGATAATTCGTTAATCTTGCTTTTTTATAATGGAAAATCGATACGTTTTCAGTACACTGTATTCAATAAAAATACATCTTAAGAACATTTAAATTTATATTCAACATTTTTTTAATTTCTTCCAATTTTTACAATTACATACAATAAAAAGAAAAAAAAAATGAGAATTATTCTATATCTTCCTTTTTAACGGGCCAGTCGACGAAATGCCCTTCCGTTTTTCCTGCCTTGAGAGCGCGACTTAAAATATACATCAGATTTTCCTTTATAGCATTGCTCTATTATGCATAAATACCAAATTTTTTAAAAATCACTTTTGCTTTTTCGGAGATATTCACATTTGATTTCTGGCGTGAATTTTCAAACTGGAGCAAAAAAAAAAAAAAAAAAAAAAAAAAAATGTCATTTTTCAAATTTATAACTTCCGTTAATTTATAACTTTCTTTTTGTTTGTTTCTTTTTACTTTCTTGAATAACAGACCACGTGCTAAAATCTTTCAGTTAGATTATTAGAATATAGCAAAGTATACGGGGGCATGAAAGATATGCCCTAAGATTTGACACGCCTTCGTAGACATGCCTTCTATGAGAATTTAGCAACTGTTAAAATACACATATGGAAAGCCACAAAAAGCAACCATGCAATGAGCACGCTCATCCGAGATCAAGCCCGGTTTGAACTCCCAGTATTCAGCGATCTTAACCAATCGGCCAATCTTAGGACCATTAAAATCTTTCGAAACACTAAAACTGGGGTTATTAATATTGCATTTTAAACACAAACTAATTTTTTTAAATATTGAAATTCTTTTAAACTATATATTTTGAATATAGTTAAGCTGTCAGAAAAATATTTTTTAGAAAGGAAATTACTTTAAAATTTCATTCATTTGCAAATAAAATTTGTGTAAATTCAAACAATGTGTGGAATTTAATAATACGACATACAAGGAAACTATGTGGTGTCCACATCAGAATTAAAAAACAATAATGTTTCACATTCTGATGAATTAATAATTATTAATACAGCCTTTATGTACGCATTATTTAAAATAATATAAAAGTACATATAATAAATATCGATAGCGAATACACTTTTGTTTCACAACGATCATCTTTGCAAGATAATCGCCTCTGTAAGCTATTAATATTAAGAAACAAATTAAATTCAGACGTTTCTAGTGAGCCATTTCATTTCTGTTGCTGTGAAACGCTTAACGCTTCTTTAGACGTCTGCTGTTCCTTAATACGGCTTGAAATAGAAAGCAATGTTTTCACAGAAAGTAATTAAATGTAAATAATTAAATGTAAATTCATGTGAAATTTTGGATTAATAACTCGGGAAAGGATTAAGTACAGAATATTTTACATTGGAATATATATATATATAATTAAATAGTGATATATGGGATTACACACATTTTTATTATTTATTAAAATTAATTTTGCTACAGTTTGTGGTGTTTTTTGAATAGTATACTACATATCAAGTGGTACATATTATATTATTGTAAACCATTTAATTTCCTTTATAATAATAATAATAATTTAAAATCCATAATCCATTGAACAGCTTAGCTGTTAAATTCGGAAATTCAGCATAGTTCTTCAGGAGGCGAAATCTGTGAACATTCATATTGTTTTATGATGCACAAGAAAGGAACACAAAGTATTAGTTAAATTTATTTGTAAAATATACCTCGTTTACTGTCTTGCAAATGAACAAAACATTAGTTGATATTAGCTTTGATGGACTGAAGCTTAAAGAAAGACGAACAGAAATGATTAACTGCCAGTTTCAGCGGATTTGTTTCCTTTAAAGCGCAATATACTACAAAGCGCTTTTCAGAACATTATCCAAAAATAATTTACGCAATTTTTATTCCCTCTGCTACCCGGGAAGTTCACAAATTCCCTTAAAATAATATCCCTACACCAGTCCCACTAAAGGTTCATAATGTCGTAATTAAAAGGGAGTCGTCTAGCGCTCTAGCTAATTTAAATGTCTTTGCTTTTCTAATTAAAACAGCGAACGAAAAAAAACTTCTTTAAATTTAATAAAAATATAAAGGAGATGGTTGTGCAGAATGAGTCCTGTTTACTTAATATATTGAAGAAGAATTATGTTGAAACTTTTGATGCCTTTTGTGTAGAATATTTTGAAGTGGAAAGAAGAAGGGGATGATTGTATTCAAGCAAACTTTGGGAAATCTTCAATTATCTCTAAGATACTCGGAATATGCTTCTGCGGATGTAATTTCCCCTCGTATGAATACAAAAGGGCGTTGGAAGTATTTATAAACCGATATTCATCTTCGTGTCAGAAGATTAGAATCAATTACGGAAATTTTTATCCTCGAAAGCGCAGTTATTCAAAACACAGATTATGTAATCTAGTGTGGACAGAACTTCATTAGACCTTCATTGCTGATTAGTACAACATTTATTTTGATTTTCAGTTTCGAAAATTATTTAATGGCTGGATGCACCTGTACACTAGATGAAAGAAATAATTAGTCTAAGTTGGCATTAAAAGATTTATGTGAGATTAATTTTATATATTGTATTATTAATAAGAGAAAACTTTCAGATTCTGGCAGAGCGAGATAATATGGTATTCGTTAATAAGTTCAGAAGTCTAACAGCTTTTGTAAATGAAAGGACAACGCATGTGCTTGTGAGAAACCATATAAATAGCCCTCTTTATGTTTTATGATAATATTTGCACACGGAAAGTAATTAAATAGATACAGATATAGATCTTTCGTATAAGTTGATTTGAATTGGAGAATTGCTTTATAATTTGAAAGTATATTTATAATTTCAGGAATAGTTTATTAGCAGAATAATTTGCTTTGGAAATTGCAAATTAATTTGCAAATAATTTTTCTTTTATAAAATACAAGCAGCGAGTTATATCTCAAAATGAATAGAAACTTTTCAGTTGAAAACAGAGCCATGCATAAAATGCATTGTTACTGAAATTAAAATTTGTCTCCAACGTATTCAGATATGAGTGTATGCAACTAGTTAAAAATACATGCATCAGCGTGTTATATGAAGACAGAGCTTAGTTGCACTAATCGTAATCTTAAAATAGATTTTTGACTTATATGTCTGAAGCATACAATTGTGTTTAAATTTTCTGAGTGCGTTACCATTTTCTTAGAAATACTAGATTAATTTTCAATTCTTCT